AACAGAATGAGATACCAGTGGTATTACGTGATATTCTAGTCACATTCACAAATACCTTCACTATTTCTAACTTAGCAACCGTTTTTTGAGAAGTACAAACATCTCAATGCACTATTAGGTTGAGAGAAGCTACTTGGCTTCCTAACAGCTTGGAAGTTATTGTATGAAGTTTTTTCTTTGTCAGGGAACACTTATCCTAGTTTCAGAGTTGGAAAACACCCTTTCACATTAAAGAAAATTCAGCTTTTTTATATTTTATATCCCAATAAAAGCATGTTTCTCAGGGATAAATAAAGAAAGCTAGGTATTTATTGCTAGAAAAATTTAACACAGTTTAAGTAGTCAGGGATCCTAATCCTCATAATGAGTAGAAAAGTGGTTAGAAATCAAATCAAAAGATAGGATGTCACAAAAAACTAAGTATTTACAGTAGCAGATAGCTTAATAAGCTAATAATAAGATGAAACTTTAGGATTTTGTATTCTGCTCAAACATCCCTGTCCATCTACATCAGAAACACATTGAATGGGAAGACATGCCGAACAAAATTGAAGTCGACACAACCATGAAAACAGAAGATTAGAAATTACTTAAATCCTAGCACAACTCCTTATATCCTTTTCCTTTCTGGAAGCTGGTTGATAGTTACCCTTATGAACATTTTGTAATTGCAAGCCATAGCTGCCTCTGATTCATCAGAAGGGTTGGGTGAACTGCATTATATATCAGTGCCGCTAGAGAGGATGATGCTATTTCCCTTTTGCTGAAGAGAGTGAAATTTAGTTCTGCAAATAGAAGATTACTGGTTTTAATTGAAGGCATAAATGCAGCAAAAAAGTAAAATCTTATTAGCTGCATTACCAATTAGATACATGGAACAAATCACTCAACATTAAAAACAAAAATATGGAGTAATGATCTACTGATTGGCCTGAGGACATGGATAGTGAGGCTGACATTCTTAAGCAGTGGTAAAAGGTACCAGCCTAAGGCTTACAGTAAAGTGGCTTACCAACAAGCATGGACATCCTTGATCCTCCTGCCTTGCTTATCTGTAGGATACAGCTGTTGCTGAAGCAAGTTAAATGTTCTCATCCTAGAGAACCAGATTGGCAAGGATACTGAAAAATAAATATCTGTCCCTTACACATAGACCTCAAAGAAGACAAAATGCAGCAGAGAGTGGTATTTTAACCCAGAAAAGAAGATCAAGAAGTTTATGCAGTGAACTTCTGTGTAGCTGAATTTCTTGGTAATTTAGACAACTTTTCACAACCTTCTCTAGAAAAAAGTTAAATTTGTTCATTTTCTGGTGTATTTATTGTGGATTAGTTATTCTCTGCTGCTTTCTTGCCATTGTAAAATTTAATGAACCCATGAGCTAATTAAGCATTTTGGAAGTGGAACATGGCAGAGCTGGAGATTGGAGGCATTATGGTTTTGCGCATTAGCATCCCATGGTTACCATATGCTAACGTTTTATGCATTTGACAATAGGAAGAATCAGGAGCACACAAGTATGTTGGGCTTCCTGCTTGTACCGGTTGGCACACTCAGTGGCATCACTGTGCAATCTCAGGCACTTTCCATTCATTATCTTGGCCCTGAGGTGTCTCAGTCATGTCAAGTAGCAGCCCTGGGGTATTTCCAGTTTTTTCTCAACTTTATTGTTAAAAATCCATTAAATGCCCCAGACGCCCATGGTAGTATCCCCTGCTAGAGAGGCACTGCAGTGTGTTACATTGTTAGTCTCCGTGCTGATTTTCTGTGTTAACCTCTCCTACTTTGTCGCTCTGTCTGTAGTTATACAGTAGAACATCTTATTGCAAGATGTTTTGACTGGAGAAACATTCTTATTTATCCGATATACTGAGTTGGAAAGCAATAAAGTCTGTGATCAGACCTTGAAATTGACCTTCTTTCGCTTCATGTTACCATGGATATCATCATTTCGTTGCTTTAATCTTCATTCGCTAGTGAGAGGAAGCACTGGGGCTTTATGAAATGTTTCTTCCCTCACTAAACATACTATAGAAAAATATTGTGTCTTCTTCGCTGAGCATGCCCACATGTGTGAGAAAGAGCATAAGTCTCATCTATCTGGATCTATTTCTGGTAGTTTTGGCATCAAAAGAAATTTAGGGAAAAAAATCCATTTCATGGCTTACCAAGCACCTGTTGTACAGTTATCAGAGTTATCTGATGAAGAGAAGAGAGTGTTTATTTCTTTGCCAGTGTAAATACTGAATAGAAAATATGGTTTTAGAAACAATGCTCTTTTGTTTTGTTTTCCCTTCTTTATGTACAGATTGTTTTCCTATAGCGACAGGCAGATTATGGTAATGTCTTAGAGGAGGCAAGCCATGGTTGTGTCCTTACTGAGTGAGGTCTTTGCCTGCGTTAAAACTTAATTCTCCAAACTTAATGTGACAATGTCTTTTCATACATTCACTGTTTGTGGAAGCTCAGACCTTTCTGCAGCAAGCAGCAGAGTAACATTTTGTCCAACAAACAGAGGTTTTCCAAGACTGTTTCTAGATGACTTTTGAGTGTTTCCAAGGGTGGAGATTTTGCTATGTCTCTGGGCTTCTTCCAGTGGAAAAGAACACTGGATGAGGCTTCTTCCAGTGCTTATGCATCCTCAAAGTAAAAAAAAATCATAGGGAACCTCCTGTGTTCCAGTTTGTGCTCAGTGACAAAATGCCTCTGTCTTTCAGTTTACACACATCTTCGTTTCCCACTTTATTATTTACTTTACATTTCTGAACAGGCTGGGTCCAAGTAAGTGCTATCTTGAATATTGACCGAGAAATGATTTTGATTGTAGGACAGAAACAACTTAGATGTGCATTTAGACACCCTTTCTGATCTTTCACATCACCTTCTGCCTGTTCCTTTCCAATAACGTGACTGGAAATGCACCTTTGAATGCAGAATCTTGTCTCTAACCTCATTCCAACTTTGGGTGGTTATAAGGTATTCAAAACATAAGTAGGTATTAATAATTGCAATAAGATGAAAGATAAAGTGCAGCCTATAGCATGAATTGCAAGCAAAGGATGCAGATACCATGTTCTTCATATGATGAAACTAAAGGAAAGCCTCGTTTACAGTAAAGTATATTACATTAAATAGCTGGCTATTTTCCTCATGGACTCTTAAGGTTTTTTTACTAAGCAAGTGAATATAGTCTGATGGTTTTCGGTTGGCTAGATGACGTTATTTCAGTCTTTTTGCTCAATGACCCCTAGAATATTCAATTACCTTTCTGATTGATTCCTGTGAATAGGGACATACACTAGAATAACATCTTAATTTTACAAAATCAAAGAAGTTGACTGTTAGATGTTTTAACATGTTAAGTCTTTGTTAACAAGGTAAAGAACCTGTTTGCATTTGAAATGCATAGACAATTTCTGAAGCACCCATTTATGCAAATACATCATGTAAGTTTTCTGATGTAGTTGCCTATTTGAATCTATCTGAAAGCCTTCATCTGTTTCCTCCTGTTTTCAGTTCATAATGAACTCTTACAACAGAGTAGATTTTTTCCTCCATTTCCAGTTGTCACTTGATATGTAATGAGATTAGCAATGCATGAATCACATAAAATGTCAACAGGAAGAAATTAACTACTGCTACTAGCCATTAGGAAGGTGGGAGAGTTTGGGAAGAAAAGCTTCTTTGGGAAGACCAGGGCTTTTTTATGGTCCTCAGCTCTCAGATGTGCTGGACATTCCTTCAGTAATGCATGAGTTCTTGTTTCCATCTTCTTCAACAGCTTGACGACAGACAAGCAGTTAGGGAGGCCAAGAGAAATACACTTCATGACATCATTCACTGGCGGAGATATTTAAGTTAATTAGTTATGCTCAATTTTATTTCTTTGTTCTCTAATCTGTCTAAACTATGTTACAGGCTTCACTGATCATCTGTGGAGACTAAATAATGTGCAGGCTTGCACATAGTATTTTCTTACTAGGGAGAAAAAAAATCGTGTTTATTTCTCTTAACCTATTTTAAGAAACTTAACCATGGGAAGAAAATGGGGAACAGGTCTGATACAGAAATAAATGTCTATTTATTTATTTTTAAACAAGTGAAGTATACTGACATTTTGAGGTGAATGCAGTATAAACATTGCTGCAGACTTCTAATTGTGTACTGGCTAAGAAGTGGAATATTTTTCTTGGTCCTGACTGTATAATTTGTCTAGTGATTAATTTAGTATCCATTATGACTGCAAGACATCAGCTTTATGCACACCAAGTTCTTTCATCCTCAGGCCAACAACCATTTTGCAGGCGTAATGCAAGAATGCCTACAGAGCTGTGTGGGTGTATATAATCCCTAACCTGAACATCTTGCAGTGTTCTCAAGTGGGAGGGTAATTTCGCCTCTTCACTGATTTTACTGATGTCTCTTATGAGCAAGTAGTGCCATTTCCCTCAACCTTTGATGAATTGCGTGTGCTATACAATGTGGGCTGTTGCTCACCAGAGGATTAAGCAGGAGCAACAAACCTGCTTCACTTTCTTCAAACCTTTCATGAGTGACAGACACCTGCGTCATCTTGTACAGTCTTAACATTTTGATATATAAAAGCAGCCTTCCAGTTCTTCCAGAGGTTACTACTAGGCTGACAAAAATGCTTACACTGCAACTAAATCATTTAAAAAAACCAACTGCATTATTTGTGCTAAAATCTTCAAATAAATTTTATGTCTCAACACTCTTAAATTAAGCTGCCCTAAGTACCTGCAGTAACCATGGTATCTGAAAGTCTGGATTACCGCAGCAGTTCTTTGTCTGAGAAGTGGTACATACTGTACTTGGATTTTAATGGAGCCATTTATACAGATTTTATATTTTCCCGTAAAACTCCTCAAGATGAATGAAAACAAGCGTGGGCTAAATGTTTGTGCTTTTCATGCTCTTTCTGTTTCAGAATCTTGCTGGCTTTCTTAATTGCTAACTTATGCAATTTCTTTGTCTTTTAGAATGTCGAGTGGTGAAATCTACTTCTTATACCAAAATAGCTTCAAGCTCACGAAGGAGCACCACCAAGAGCCCAGGTCCATCCCGACGCAGCAAGTCTCCTGCTTCTACCAGCTCAGGTAAAGCAAGCAAGAATTTCTTCTTAAAAACAGCAAGCAATTTATTTAAATGCTATTGGCAATGTGCTTAAAATACAACATTTCTTTAAAATATATATATAAAACAGTTGATAGTAAAAATTCACTTACTCTCAGTTGCACATGAAAAGAAATGTCTTCTGATATAAAAGACTTCTTTACTATGTTATAGATTATTCTCCAGCATTGCTCTTTATTTTCTTTCATTGTTCTTGCGTGATTTTGTTTCTTGTAGATAAAGACTGACAGAAAGAAGTATTCTTTCTACTAAGAACTGAATAAACAGTGCAGAAAGTAGTCAAGTCACTCAGTGTAGTGCCTGTGTCTGCACATCGCAGATTTCAGGGGGTTTTTTGCATTTTGTTTCTGAGGGAATTACAAGTCAGCATTGAGGAAAGAATAGGCTAAAGATATTAGGTATATTGAGAAAGAGGAGAAGGGCCAAGGCAGAATGTAAATGCAGACATGAATTTGAGACAAAAGACAGCTGAGGAAGAAGCAAGTCAGAGTTGGCTGAACAAGCCAGTGGAACAGATTGGAGAAGGGTCAACAAAATCTTTAGTAAGTTATAATTCTGCCTGGAGGGACTTATTTGTCCTCTCCTAGAAAGCAGTCTATGACTAGTTCCTACTCACAGCTTTTTTGAAACAAATAAGTAAAAGAAGTACATTAGATAATTTATCTGTATTGGGGCCAGCACAAATCCGTTACTCATAAGTACAAATAATACTTGGTATGGGCCAGTTGAGTAGACCCAGTCCAGCAGTTGCAGCACTGCTTGTGAATATGGATTTTGTAAGAGCCAAACATTAGAGCTGTGTGAAAGTCACCTCACTCTTTCTTGCCTTAAGTATTCTGCCTACAGGGAAGCAAACATCATACTGGAACCTTTTTGTTACCTGCATCCTGCACCATAATGTCCTTAGGGGAAAGGAAGGTGGCGATCAGAACTGTCCAGGTGCCAAGGAGCTCCTAGATGCTTTCAAAGAGAGGAGGTGTGAACCAAGTGGAACCATATTTTTCACAAGAGTAGACTGAGAAAAAAACTGTTCTTGATCAGGGAAGGAGGAAAGTGGGGGTAACACAATGAAAGAGAGAGGCGTAGATCTGTGTAGGAGGGCTGGGAGGCAGTGTGCCTCCCACACGTCTTAAGAACATCTGAAATAGAGAAGCCTGAAAAGAGGTGTTGTGAAGAAGTATCAGTTGCGAGGAAGAAGCACACAGACTCTCTGAAACATACTTCAAGTCATTTTATTTGGAGCTCGATGGAACAAAATTAAATCAGAATTTAGCAAAAGAGGTTCTACTTAGTCCATGGATATTACAGATGTTTTTTTCCCCCAATATTTCTTTATTTGTGAGTACAGGTTATTGAACATTGATCTATGTATGTTCATATTTGTATTGAAAAACAGTCCTACTGTGCATAAAAAATGTTTCTGCCATGAGACTAGCAATATTTTTTCTATGGTGACTGCATGATCCCATTCTGGTTTTGACCACGTGTTAAATAGTAATGTTTTTACTTAAATATACTTGGAAAGTGTAGATGAATAAACTTTAAATCTCCTACGGAGAGAAAAAAATAAATAAAATAAGTATAAACATTAAAAAAAAAAATCAGTGAATTTATTTTAAATACACAGTTTGATGTTAGACACTGCAATAAAAGAACAATGAAAAGAAAGACAATTAGGTAATAAGCAAAAAACAAAATTCTCCCATGAAGTGGAGACATCATACAGATTTCACTTTTCTGCCATCCAGTAGGCCTAAAAATAGTGCCTGTTTATTGGAATTACATATATTTAACAGCAGCAGAATATAACAATTACTGTCAAGAGCATATATGAACAGATACTTTTTTTTCCACGTTCTTTACATTAAATATCTCACTATTAGGGTCCCATAAATGACCATTTATGAGGGCATTGAGTGCATGATGAGGGCATTAAGTTCCCTCAGTAAGTTTGCAGATGACACCAAGTTGGCTGGAAGTGTCGATCTGCCTGGGGGTAGTGAGGCCCTACAGAGGGATCTGGACAGGCTGGATAGCTGGGCTGAAGCCAATGGGATGAGATTCAACAAGGCCAAATGCCGGTTCCTGCACTTTGGCCACAACAACTCCAGGCGACGCTACAGGCTTGGGGCGGAGTGGCTGGAAGACTTGCGTAGAGGAAATGGACCTGGGGGTATTGACTGATGCTTGGCTGAACATGAGCCAGCAGTGTGCCCAGGTGGCCAAGGTGGCCAGTGGCATCCTGGCTTACTTCAGGAATGGTGTTGCCAGCAGGAACAGGGAAGTGATTGTCTGCCTGTGCTCAGCTCTGGTGAGGCTGCACCTCAAGTACTGTGTCCAGTTTTGGGCCCCTCACTGCAAGAAAGACATTGAGGCCCTGGAGCGGCTTCAAAGAAGGGAACAAATCTGGTGAGGGGTCTGGAGCACAGGCCTTATGAGGAGCAGCTGAAGAAGCTGGGATTGTTCAGTCTGGAGAAGAGGAGGCTCAGGGGAGACCTTATTGCTCTCTATAACTACCTGAAGGGAGGTTGTAGTGAGCTGGGAGTTGGCCTCTTCTCTCGTGTAACTGGTGATAGGACCAGAGGGAATGGCTTCAAGCTGCGCCAGGGGAGATTTAGACTGGATGTTAGGAAATATTACTTCTCTGAAAGAGTGGTCAGGCACTGGAATGGGCTGCCCAGGGAGGTGGTGGAATCACCGACCCTGAAGGTGTTCAAGGAATGTTTGGATTTTGAGTTGAGGGACATGGTTTAGTGAGAGCTATTGATGACAGGTGGATGGTTGGACTGGATGATGTTGAAGGTCTTTTCCAACCTTGGTGTTTCTGTGATTCTGTGATTCTGTGACCAGCACTTAAAACATAAGTTTACACTTTTGCTGTCAGTTGTTACTGCTAAGTTTATATATGTGTCTTTTACTCTGTGCTTTTAAACTGTTTTTAGTTCATCTTTAAACGACTGTCTTAGATTTTTTCTCATTAGGTATTAACGTAAGAAGTAGTAGAGAAGAACTCAGCTGTTCTGATCATAGGCTATATATATATTCCAAAAGAAAGGCACATTGTTTTCATAGAATTACAGAATCATAGAATGGCCTGGGTTGAAAAGCATCATAACTATCATCTAGTTTCAACCCCCCTGCTATGTGCGGGGTCTCCAACTTTGTTAAGGTTTGTATCATAAAAGGCAGAAAGCTGAGAAAAGTAGTGATATAGGGTGGGCAGAAAGCATTATCAATTGTATCATTAAATTGTACTTTCAAAAAAAAGTCTGTGAGCTATATACAGAGAAATGAGTAGCTAATTAGGAAGAATCTGATTCCTCTTCGTTGATTCTTGCTTCTCTCATAAAAGCTGGCACACTGTTGCCAAGGAAGAGGATCAGATGCCTGGTTCTGTCATCAATTCTTGCCCTTATTGGGATAATCCAAATTCTAAAATGAAGGGAAATCATTGAGTTACCCTTAATTCTCCAGAATATACGTCTTTAGTATGGTGTGCTTTTTAATGTAGGTAGACTTTTTTTTTCCTTCCAGCACAGAATAGCTAATAGGAATTCATAACTTTTGAAGATAACAAAGACACTGTGTTGGGTTCATTTGCACATTGTGACTTAAGTGGTGAGTGAGGCTGGGAAATGTAGACAGACTACTTGGTTTAAGCACTTGTGTATCATTCTCAGGAACTGTTCCCCTGCTTGCCACAGAGTAATTGATGTGAACTAAGCCTGACTTTGGCTTGAACCAAATGCAGTGAAGTCCATGAGGTGTTTGTTCTGAGCAAACTGTTATGGAGTGATGAAGTTGCCCACGTTTGTCTCAATAGTTTCTGAAATTGCTCACAGAAATTGAAGGGGTTGTGGTTTGGTTGGCTGGTTCTTTAATGTATGTGTCTCAGTTTCAAATCTGTAATTTGGAGAAATACCATTTTACCATAACTGATGATATGAAAATCAATTCAGCAGTGTTTACAGGTGACTTTTAGAGAAAATCCTGCTTGAAGGGCCTAATGTGTAGAGCCTCCTATTTCAATCTCACCTTGTTGTGGTGGTCCGTGACTGTCTGCAGAAGCAGGCAAAGGATGCTGAATCCCATCTCCTCAGTGAGCTCCTTGTTGAGAGCCATCAAGTAGTGAGCCTGAAAGCCCCATGCTGAACAGGACATGAGAAGAACAAGGAAAATGCTGGCCCACAGGTTCAGGGACACACAGCCCTGGCAGAGTAGAGAGAAAGGATAGAGCTGCAAGTGGAGACCAGGCTGCAGGTTTGCAAAAAAAGACACTTAGTGATGCCTGAGTCTGCATCAGGACTTAGTGCGATGCCAGTTCAAATTTGCGATTGAGAGCGAAGAAAAGCAGACTCATCTGTAAGGGAATGGGAGATGCATTCCTCACCCTTTCTTGACATCAACCTAAAATGAGTGAAAAAAACGTGTCTTTTACACCATTGATTGACATATTTAAGAGAACTGTAAATCTTTAAATAGGTGATGTTCACCTTTCTTTCAGTCTTGCTTTTTCACTTTTATTTTTAAACATGATATGCTTACTATGCTTATGTTTTCCTGTTAGCCTCTCTGGCTTCTGAGAGCAGTTGAAACCTCTATTTCTGTAAAAACACAGAAGACTTTATTTCTTAAAAGAGCCTTTAAGATCTGCGGTAAGGGTTGACTTCATTATTATGTTTTGTTCATTTTTTTGTTTACATCTGACAGTGTTTCAGAACAGTACCACAAGACAGAAATCTCACTGCAGGAGGATTGCTTTATGTTTTTTTTTTACAAATGCATTTGAGATATTTTCTGCTTTAAAATACTTTCAGTCTGAATCACAAAATGAAGCAGGGAATAAAGAAGGGAACAGCAGCATCACCTCACAAGCAGGCAGAATGCTGAAGTCTACTTCCGCGTGCATCAGATAATCCTGCCTCTACTTAATTGTCCAGATATCTTCTCAAAGGCTGTAAAA